TCCAGCACGTCGTTGAAGAACAAGATGAAGAGAAGGCCGGACAGCGGGCACCCCTGCCGCACGCCGGCCATCACCTCGAACGGCGCCGAGAGCAGCTCGCCGACTCGCACGCTGCGTGAGATCGTTGTGCAGCTTCTTGGCCCTGCGCGACCAGTACATCTTGCCGACGACGCGGGGCACGCCGTTGACAATGCGCCTGACCGGGTTGACGTCGCCGCTGCAGATCAGGCGGACGAACGTGCGCTTGTGCACGGCGCGGTCGAGCAGCCGCACAGTGGCGACGTGCGACAGCATGTAAATGTCTTCGTGGGAGACAAAAGTGGTTGCAACGAGGTTCGAACTCGTGCCTCTTTCGAGACCGGGACTTGAATCCGGCGCCTTGGACCACTCGGCCATACAACCACGGAAAAATTCAAAATTTCAAGGTATATATACTCTATGCAAAACAGGAACGGGATCGGCTGATTTATTTCTCCGCGCTATAGAAACAGACGACATTTCTGTGCATTTAGACGCAGTTCTATGGTCCATTGCGGCTTCCAGCGGCAGCAGAATGCGTGCGCTAGTCTCTCTTGTCGGCGCGGTCGGCGCGGTCGGCGCGGTCGGCGCGGTCCGAGTGGTCAGTGTCTCTTGTGTGCCTCGTGCCGTGCTTCCGCTTTGACTTGTGCCGATGCGACTTGAGCGGCACGGACGCGCCGTCGTTAAAGAGCCACTCAAACTCCTTTGTGTTTGCGAGTTCCATGTTTCCGAGCATTTCAGCCGAGGGGAGGAGTGCGGTGAAGGACTGGAGGCGCGAGGTTTCCGAGTGGAGCGCGGTGGCGACTTCGGCGAGGCGGCGGTCCCTGCGGCGCCACTCTGCGACCATGTCGAGCTCGCGGGCGGACTCGTGCGCGGCGACGTGGAGCTTCATGCGCTCGAACTCGATGCGCAGCTTGCGCTCGGCCTGGTACTGCAGGCGGTTCTCGTGCAGGGCGGATTCGAGCTGCTCGCGGTGGGCGGTCTCGGCCGCGAGGCGGCCCTGCGTGCCCGCGAGGGCGGCCTGCAGGTGTGCACCCGTGTCGGCGAGGCGCCGCACCGTGTCGCCCAGGCGCGCGTTGTCGTCCTTGACGCGCGCGAGCGACTCGTTGAGGCGCCGGATCTCGTCGTTGCGCTCGCGCAGCGCCGCCGTCGTCTCGTCGCGCAAGAGGTCAATGTCGGCCGCGAGCGCGTCGCCGCGGGCCTCGGCGGCGTCGCCGCGCTCGCGCGCCGCCGCGTGCGCCGACTGCTCGGCCTCGAGCTCGGCGCGCAGGCGTGCATTGTCGGTTGCGGACGCGGCCGCGTCGCGCTGGCTGTCGGCCAGCCGCGTCTCGAGATCCGCATTGGCCTTTTGCAGCTGGTCCTGCCGCATCTTGAGCTTGACGTTCATGTCCACGACCATGTGGTGCTTGGTCTCGAGCGACTTGAACTCTTTGGTCAGCTGCGTGTGCGCGGTCTGCAGCGTGCCGAGCTCCGTGCGCAGCTCGGCCTCGGTCGCGATCGCCTCGTCGCGGAACTGCGCAAACTGCGTGCGCGTGGTCTCGAGCTCCTCCTCCTTCTGGCGCAGGTCCGCGCGCACAAACTTGATCTTCTCGGTCAGCTGCCGCTTGTCGTTGGTCAGGTTTGATTTCGCCGCGGTGAGCTTCTCGATCTGCTCGTCCAGCAGCGCGGCCTTTTCGTCCGAGAGGCGCTTGACCTGGGCAATCTCGAACGTGAGCACGTTGACGTTGGACAGCTCGCGGTCGAGCTGGTTCTGCAGGTCCGTGGTCTGGAACATGAGCTGCTCCTTGGTCTCGTGCAGCTTCTTGATTGTCTTGGCGTCCTCGGTGCGCAGGTCGCCGAGCTCCTTGATGCGCTGGTCGCGCGAGGCAATCTCCTTTTCGTGCTTTTGCGCCGTCAGCTTGGCCGTGGCCTCGAGCTGGTCCTTGGCGCGCGTCAGGGACTTGAGGGCGGCCGAGAGCTTTTCGTTTTCGGCGCGGCTCGACTTGAGCTGCATCTCGAGCTCCTTGCGCGCAATGATGCCCTGGTTGGTCTCGTCCGTGAGGCGGGCGATGCGCTCGCTCAGATCGCGGCGCACGTCCGCGGCGGTGGCTTCCGCGAGCCGCAGGTCCGCCTCGAGCTTGGACTTTTGCAGCGTCAGCTGCTGTACGTTCTCCTGGGCGTCGCGCAGCTGGCGCGTGGTGAGATCCAGGTCGGCCGAGATCTTGATGTTGAGCTCCTCGGACTTGCGCTTGCTCTCGCCCGTGATGTTGAACTGCTGGACAAGCTCCTCGAGCTCAAACTCGAGCTCGCGGATCTTGATCTGCGCGGCGCCGAGGTCCTTTGCCGACTGCTCAAAGTCTGCCGACAGCTTCTCGAGATTGCGCTGCAGGATGGTGTTGCGCGACTCGGCGGCTTCGGTTCCCTTTTGAGCCTCCTTGCGCAGGCGGGTCATGGTCTCGTCCATGGCGAGAAACTCCTTGAACGAGTCGTGCAGCTTCTCTTTCATGTCCTCGACCGAGCGGTCGGCGTCCTTGACGCGCGCCTCGCCCGCGCGTATGGTCTGGTGCAACTCGTCGATCTGGTCGTGAAGCTGGTCGGCACCGACGGGAGTGTGGAGCAGTGTCAGCAGTGAGAATTGGGCGGCTCTGACGAGCCCTACTGAGAACAGGGACAAGACGCACTCTCCGCTTCTCCTCCTCCGAGTTGATGAGAAAGGCCATGAGGGACGAGGTCTCGGCCTTGAGGTATCTGACGTCGCGCTGCAGCCGCAGGCTCTCACTGTGCAGCCACTCTTCAGCAAAGGTGTAGTAGTGGACGGAGCGGTTGAGTGCTCCGCGCAGGCGCTGGACGTTTGCGGCCTCGAACTGCTCGCGGCGGCCGAGATCAAACAGCTGGCGGCGCAGGAGGGTGATCTCGCGGTCTTTTGCTTCGAGCATGCGCTTGTAGATGGCGCCGGAGAAGGCGGGTCCCGAGCGCTGCGACGCGGGCAGTGGGCGGACGCCCGCAGCGGCAGCCGAGACATTGACGGCGGTGCCGGCCGCAGGGGCGATCTGTGCGTCCGGGAGGGCGGACTGCGGGCGGTGGGCGGCGCGCTTGTCGTTGGCGGGCGGCGCGCCGATGGGATAGCGCTGGGCGGCGCGCTTGTCGTTGGCGGGCGGCGCGCCGATGGGATCGCGCTGGGCGGCGGCCTTTTGCTGGAGCAGGACCCAGCGGTCGCGCTCGACCTTTTCCCTTGCGTCGACAAAGACGGCGGAGCGCTCGCGGGTCGGGTCCTTGATGATGTCAAAGTAGGGCACGGGGCTCTGCGGGATAGCGTCTGCGACCTCGTCGATCTGGTGGACGGATGCGAGCGGCATGGGCTCGCCGTGGCGCGACAGGCAGTGGTCAAAGACGCCGAGCAGCGAGTCCTGGCAGGCCTTGCAGACGCGCAGGGTCACGGAGGCGCGGGCGGGATCGGATGCGGTGTCCGAGAAGCCGGCGTCGGCGGGGTCGGCTGCGGGGAGATCGTGGAGCAGGGCGTTCGCCTGTCCGAGGCCGTGGGCGTGGGCGTGACTGCGGGCGAGCGGGCGGGCGATGGCGAGCAGACCGGCGGCGGTCTCGCGCAGCGGGTCGGCGGGGGGGTCTGCGGCGCCGGGCGACGGAGCGCGGGAGCCCGCGAGGTGGCGCAGCGGCGGGATGCCCAGATCTGTGTGTGCGCGCGGGTGCGGGCCTGCTGCTGCTGCTGCGGCGAGCAGGCCGGCGCTGTGGAGGCGGTGGTGGGCGAGGGCGGCATCGCGGGCGTCGCGGGCATCGGGCGGCGGGGCCGGCGAGCGCCGCAGTGCGAGCGGATCGAGCGGGGGC